GCCATTTGCATCTCTCTGACGGAAGGGATGGAGCGTACATTACTGCCTTGTGATCTAATCTCGGCAATCTCCCGCTCCAGACTCTCCGACAGTCGCTGCCAGGACGCTGTTATGGCGTCTTCATTGCCCTTGATCAATTTCTTCTTCAACGCGCTGAACCGTGGTGGCAGAGGATCAGGTTTCTTGCCAGATAGAGAGGGAAAGACGGAGCTGATGTCACCAGCCTCTTTGGTTAAGGTGGAAGCGGCACGTCGCAAAGCTGTGTTGAGGTGATTCTTCATGGTCTTTGCGCGCCAGGGGGGACGAGCTGAATATTCGAAGGTGTCAGACTCTCCCTCACTACTCTCTATTTTCTGTCCTCTGTTCTCTGTTCAGTTCCATTGTCTGAATTTATCCTCGATCATACCGCGAGAGCCACCGGATACGCTTCCGAACCAGGCGTAGCGCGAACCGCCATGTGGTTGTATTTTGCGGAGGCAAAAATGGCCCGATTCGAGTCAACCACGCTATACCTGAAGGCTGTAACCTCGGTCTCCTTGGTTAGAGCTTCGTGAGGGGAGGGGGGTCCTTTCGACGTGGGCTATCCACAACACGGGGATCCTTCAATAAAATACAATACTGCTGCCTCGGGATCCCGAGGTAGGAGGTTGTATATGAAGCCACAAGGTGAACCCTTCTCCAGATTGAATTCGACTTTGTCATCTTAAACCCCCCTTCTGTCCCCCACAAGGAATCTGCACAATGGCTCAGCAAGTACAAGGAAAGACAGCGATTGTCACGGGCGCTGGCTCCGGTAGATCTTTCTCTCCGATGCAACCTCAGCCCAACGAGGCAAAAAAACTGACTTAAGGCGACCACCAACAGGGATTAATCTCGAGTTTGCCCGTCTCCTTCTGGAACATGGCGCCAACGTCGTGTTTGCCGACCTTAGTCTCCGACCAGAAGCCGAGAAAGTGGTCCAGAAGTATCAATCGACTGCCAACAAAGCCGTCTTCCAGAAGACCGACGTGACCTCGTGGCCGGACCTCGATGCCATGTTTGCCGCAGCTCAGCAACAATTCGGATCAATCGACATTGTGTGCCCGGGAGCAGGAGTATTCGAGCCGGATTGGAGCAGCTTCTGGCACCCACCGGGGACGGAGAAATCCAAGGACGACCCAGCCGGAGGGAGGTACCGGCTGTTGGACATCAACATAACGCATCCCGTGCGCGTCACGCAGTTGGCCATTTCTCACTTTTTGGCCGCAAACCCGCCATCCAGTGTCGAGAATCCCAAGACGATTGTCCATATCGCGAGTATCGCAGGTGAGACCACCAGCCTCACATTCCCCCTGTATCATGTGAGCAAGCATGGCGTCCAAGCGTTGGTGCGCAGCCTGGCGGATCTGGAAAAGCTGCGGGGGATACGTGTGAGCTGCGTGATGCCGGGACTGGTCAAAACGCCGCTGTGGACCGACCACCCGGAGAAGTTGAAGGTCATTTCGCAAGACGATGTCTGGGTGACGCCAGAGGAGGTCGCCGAGGTAATGCTCGCATTGGTCAAGGACAAGGAGATTTCCACTGTCATTGGGAGCAGGAGCTCGCGGACAAATGGCGCCACTGGACAGGCGACAGACGTGATTCAGATCAAGGGAGGCAGCTGTTTGGAGGTGCTTGCAGGCGCTGTCAGGGATGTGCCTCTCTTCAATAATGTCGGGCCGTATGTGGGAGGACAGCCAGGGGCAACAGCGAGCGATGCTGTGAAGATATACAACGAGGTTGTTGACTCGTTGAAGCCAGGATGGGGGAAGGCCTGAATGCGGCTGTGCATGAACAATACGAGCTTTGGTGGGGGGTGAACACAAAAGACAGTTCAACCACCAGTATCCAGTACAAGTAGACCTATACAGGTACAGGGTAGAACAATGAGCATCCAGATGGATTCGCATATCATTTTGGAAAGGGGGCCAAATGGAAAGTTTCGGGGCGACGATGGGGGATCGAGTCTCCCCCGATGTGTGGCTTGGGAGGCTTGGACACTTGTTTGACGCCATCCGCAGCCGCAATTGTCATATCCGTCTCTCTTCGCTAAATTAATTCCTCTCGGGCTTCAATTTGGGAACCGACATTTCCAATCCATTCGTTTCCCCTCTTTCTTGACTGCTCAATGTGATGATCTAGCCATCTACCGCGCCTTTATCTGCTCCGGTATCTTTTGTGTCTTTGTCCGTTGCTCTCGCGAGGGGAGCAGAGATGAACACTTCCGATCCCACGAGATAAAACCCCGACGCCCTCTGTCCGTTCGGACCCGATCATGTCACTACCTGCGCCCGCTTCCTCGAGCAGGACGCAGTCTCGAGCTCGTCGGTTAGTTGTCTCGCGATCTATGCTGTTCCTGTGTTCTAACTGCTCTTCAGACGCCCCGGCACCCCGACCCTTAGCAAACGCGATCTCACAGGAACCGTCGGTCAAGCATCATGGATCAGCAGCGTGGTCAATCTCCTCAACACAATCGTGGGCGCTGGAGTCCTCGCCATGCCCGGTGCCTTATCACATATGGGGATCTTGCTGGGAACAATTGTGATATTGTGGGCTGGTGTCACTGCTGGGTTTGGCCTCTACCTGCAGACTCGCTGCGCCGCGTACCTGGATCGAGGATCCTCGAGTTTTTTCGCCCTGTCCCAAATCACATACCCCAACGCCGCGGTCATCTTTGATGCTGCGATCGCCGTCAAATGCTTTGGGGTGGGAGTCAGCTATCTCATCATCATTGGCGACCTCATGCCCGGGGTGGTGCGAGGGTTTGCTCGTGAAGAGGACCTGGGGAAATTCATGTTCGATCGTCACTTTTGGGTGACGGCTTTCATGCTGGTTGTCATTCCATTCTCCTTCCTACGTCGACTCGACTCGTTGAAATACACTTCGGTCATCGCCCTGATATCGATTGGCTACCTGGTCATCTTGGTCGTCTACCACTTTCTCGCACACGACACGTTGCCCGATGGGCACTATAAGACTCCGCTGCGGGTAATCACCTGGGCTGGTGCTGTACCGGCTCTTTCTTCTTTCCCCGTCATTGTGTTCGCCTATACCTGTCATCAAAACATGTTCAGCATCCTCAATGAGATCAACGACAATTCTCATTTCCGCACCAGCGCTGTGGTATTTGCGTCCAACGGCACGGCGGCCGCCATCTATGTTTTAGTTGCGATTACCGGTTACTTGTCATTTGGGAACGAAATCGGAGGGAATATTGTGGCACAGTACGCACCCTCGGTGTCGACAACGATCGGTCAAGCCATGATTGTGGTTCTTGTCATGTTTTCCTATCCTCTGCAAGTTCACCCTTGCCGTGCCAGTGTCGACGCCGTTCTCAAATGGCGTCCATCCGACAAGCTCAAGGCGAGACTCCGTTCCACGCCTGCGACGCCCAGCTCGCTGGATTCCAGCCCGGCGCGCGACGTGCCTCTGTTGCAACCTGGCAGGAGACGAAACGCGGAGATGGGAGAGGCTCGATTCGCCGCCATCACCACTGCAATCATCATCCTCAGCTACATCGTCGCCATGACGGTTTCCAGCCTCGAGACTGTTCTGGCGTACGTCGGATCTACAGGAAGCACGTCCATTTCCTTCATCTTGCCAGGCTTGTTCTACTATAAGATATCGTCGCCTGATTCACCTCTGCATCAAAAACTCGTGAAAGAAGAAGACGATTACGACTGGCCAGGGGACGAGGGTGAAAGCGTCAAATCTGACGACGACGCCGTCAATGATGAACAACCGAGCCACGAAGGGCAGAACTTGCTGAGCAATTCGGGGTTTCTGAGCCTGAGTGGCGTGAGCTTGCTGAAACGGACGAGAAATTTCCGCCGGAAACTGCTTCGCAAGCTGAGTCTCGCATTGGCCATCTACGGTGTATGTGTCATGGTGGTTTGTTTGATCACAAACACCTTTTTTATTGTCGGGCACTGAGGAGTGTTGAAGGGGAGGCGACAAGTTGCGTGTGCTAATGCTCTAGACATCAGCCACAAGGGGGAGTCACACCACATGGGTTGGGCTGTTAGATTCGGCCGCCGGATATAGTGTTGGACGTGACCTGATTGTTGGATTTCGAAGAGGGAGAGAAGACGCCAGTCGATGACTACAACTACAGCTGATTAGGTCGGCATTCCGAGTGGCGAGGACATCAAGTCAAGGTACCAAAGAAGCGATAATGCGGTGCACCCCGACAAGATCTCCTGGGAGGGGACGTCCCGCTAGACAGATCGGCAAGTATCGGTATATCTCGGTATATCCCTCATGCGACTTGGACAGCAAAGTCTCATGGAAGAGTTGGAAGTGAGCCCAGGAGAGTTCCAGAACCATACCCAGCAAGGCTTATGCGCTCCAGACCCCTGCAACAACCAAAGAGACCTGTTGACGAAGGACTCGACTTGTCGATCACGGCGTTGGAATTTTGGTTTTGGTGTTGGACATGGAATTGGACTGTGGCAGAGAGCAAAAGTTTTCTTTTGCGATTTGGACGAGTAAAGAAATCATCGTTACTACACGTTTTTAGAGAGGGAGAGGGAGAGAGCGACGGCGTTCCAGGCACGACAGGGCTTTGGATTTAATGTTTATATATATTTCGTATATATTTCCGCCACCATCTCTCTTGAACGATACTATATCTGTGCATCGATTGAGGTATTATGCCAAGATCGGGTCTCGCTGGTTGTCGCCCTGGCGGTGTGGGAGATACCCCCCGGATACGAGGTATTGAACGTAGGATCCCTTGACACTCGACTCTTGTAAGGGGGTCCTCGCTTTGTTAATTCTACCCTCGTACTTTTGAGTCGACACATCAAATACTCATACGTGGAGGTCTACCTCTACCTCTGCCTCGAAGTATCGTGTGCTCTGGTCCTTGGTCCTCGTACGAGTTCCTCGCGGTACGGTACAGTCCAGCACTTGCACTCGTCGAGAGAAATACCACGAGAGGAGAGAGACGAAGAAGTCGACGACGAAAAGAAAGGGGGAAGATGGACAACCCGATCGAACTGCCCAGCGGCCACCTCCTGTGCCGCGCCCACGGCTTGGTCGTCTGCGGCATCTGCTGCGTCGACTACAGTTTCATGGACGAGATTCTCGACCCCTCCTCCGACGAGTCTTTTTCTGGGGAGGAGGAGGAGGAGGAGGAGCATGATTCCCTGGAGGAGGTAGATTGGGATAGGGACAGCGACAGTGACGGCCACGGCGACGAGTTGCTCACCGAAGACGAGATGGCGGCGTTGAGGGCGCGGTTGGTTGCGAGAAAGGGTATGTGCGGTACCTCTATTAATCTTTTCTTTGCTTTGCTTTGCTTTGCTTTGCTTTGCTTTGCTTTTCTGCGTTGGATACCTTTTGTTTCATGCCATATCATATCATATCACATCACATCATATCATCCGCTCTCTTCTAGAAGCTCGTATCTAGCTAGGTACATACATACCTACTGTATATGTACTCACTCACTCACCTACTCACCACCATACTGACTCATCCACTCTTCAATTGTATCCCGGGAAGCAGGATGCGCATGCTTCCTCCCCCTCCCCGGCTCGGGCTGCCCAAACTGCGATCCGGAGATGAAGGGGAAAGCAAAGGCGAAAGAAAATAACGCCCAAAAAGCCCGGGAGACTGAGAGGACGGATGGAAACCCCGCGGTAGGGGCCGGTGGTAAAGGCAGTAATGGTGCGAAGAGTGGATCGGCACCGCGAGGAGCAGCGACATCAGCAGCAGCGTCAGCGATAGTCACATCACCGATAGCAGCATCTGCAGCGACAGGAGCAGCAGCAGCAACGGAAGCGGAAAAGAAGAAGAGAAACAGACGGAATAAGAACAGGAACAGGAATAGAAACAGGAACAAGAACAAGAACAACAGCAACAAAGGTGTGACGACCACGACCTAGCAGGACAGTCACTGACGAAGACATACCGAAGAAGAATTTGATACAACTAGCATATATAGGTTCGCAGATGCACAGGGACAAACAGACATGTGTGGCTCTCAATGTTGTCTTGTTCCCTGTCGCTCGCTGTCTCCATCACATAACATCTCCATACTTTGGCTACAAATGCAATCATTATTATTTTACTCTTCAAACTGCCTGTGGAATCAATCTATTTGATGCATATGAGTCCATGGCCTGTTGGCCATCCGCAATATCAGCCCAAGTCGAAGAAAAGACGTTTGGATCCAGCGCTTGTCCGTACACCCCTTAGACATGATCGACTGAAAGGGACGAGTCCCAGCACCCAATAATAATGCAGCGACCTTTTCCCCAATTGCTGCGAACAGTGTTCGCCTGTAAAATGTTCCCCAAGGAATTGCACAACCAGAACTGCGATCGATCCGCAGAACGAATCCCGACCTGGACTTGCCCCATCCAGCACATCTGACCCAGACGTTTTATCGACCCTTGCACCTCCGAGGAACTCAGTTATTGTTCTGAGTCGCATTCAAGATCCTCAGGATAGAGAGGAACAAGTTGAGAACGTCGAGGTACAGGCTGATCGAAGCCGCAATCTCCTCCTCCACGTGATAGTGTCTCATGACGAGCTGGGTGTCCACGAGGATATAGCCACTGAAGATCAAGGATGCAATCGCGCCATAGACCAGCTCCACCGTCGATCCGTGCGGGAAAAAGGCGGCCATGAATCCGAAAATGATCAATATCCACAGACCACCAAAGAGGTAGGGCATCCAGCTGGTGAAGTCGTACTTGCTCTGGCACGCAAAGAGCGTCAAGAAGACAAAGATGGCCAACGTGATGACAAGAGCTTCGATGACGATGCGGCTTTCGAAGAACGACGTGACGACGCTGATGCTGTAGGCCTCCAACGCAGTAAAGCCAGCCAGAAAGACCATGTTTGTTGGATATGACTTGCGCTTCCAGAATGTAAGGAGCATGAATCCGATGGCCCCGAACAACGACACCCACATCATCCACGAGTTGGACTGGATCCAGTTTCTGTAACCCTTGGAAAAGAACGAAAGCGTAGACAGAGCCGCGGTCAGGAGGAGCTGGACGGTCAGGATGGTATAGACTTTGCGAATAAAGGACATTCGGATGTCAAGGGTCGCTTCGATGACGACGCCGCCAAACTGTGCATCGTCGTTAGTGCGCGGTCGACAACACTGCCAGAGAATGGGGGCTTACCTTGAAGTCGTCCGGAACATTGTCGTCTTCTGTTCTGGGAGCGCCAAAGATGCCGTGGTCAGCGCTGGGTCCTGTAGCCTGATAGTTTGGAGGGGCTTGAGTGTAGTTTTGCTCCTCGAACGAGTCGCGCTGAGGAGCGGGCTGATATCTGGTGGAGGAAGCCATCTTGCGTTGTCGACGAAAGTTACTGAGAGATGAGCGCAGGGCAGAGAAGTGTGTGCAGGAGAGGAAAGAAAACTGGGGAGGGATGGTATACAAGTACAAGTAAGGGAAGAGGAGTGGCGTGTTTTGAGTTGTGACGCCTTCGTTGCTCCTTCCTCCTGCGCCTGTGTCTGCGCCTACGGCCCCGGCGAATGTTCCAGTCACAAGAGCCAATGATGCCTGGCAGTACTGACGCTACGGGCACGTGGGGAAGGAAGTTCCACCCTGTGCGGGCACTTCCTCAATAGGCACCGCCAGTGCCGAAAAGGAGCTTGTTACTCGTTAGCCCGCCGCTTTACTCGGGGCGTCATGTGACCTAGCTCAACTTTGGCTCAGCCTGCGAAGGCGGGCCACTCACCCTCTGAGAGCATTGGCTACATACATACGCTATACTTGGTAGGGAATTACCTCTCTTTGAAGTTATGGAACAACCACTTTCAACTCGATTCAGCTCATGACCGTCGCTACCAGTCTCCCAAGAACTGTTTTTTTCATGGTCAACCGAGGATGATTTCTTTCCAAATCGGTCCGTCCCCAAGTCCCTCGTTCAAGTCCGTCTTTCCCACAAACCCAATGGCCACTCTTTCAGCATACATGCTAGGCTTGCCATTTGAAGTGATGGATCCCAATGCCGTTTTGTTACCGTCCTTGTCCGTCCATTCAATCAACATGGCCATGTATCTCCAACCCTCCTCGTCGTCGATCATGCCATTCTCCGCCCGCTTGTCTCTCCCCTCGCAAACGAGGATGAATTCTCTCTCCTGAGGACCGGAATACCAGGGAGGTTGCACCTCGATCAGACCGAGTTCGTGTCCACTGCGGCCAAAGATCCCGAGCCGTTTGCGCTGATGCGGTGGTCCTCTGGCATTGTCGGGAGACGTCGGCTCGTCGATCTTCAGGATGAGCGATACCGTCCAGAACTGAAGGAATCCCGAACCGCCGCGACTGCTGAGAATGTCTTGGACGTGGTGTGGAGGGTTGATTTCCGCCAACACCAGCTTTGTGGGCTCGGTCCGCGAGCAGTCGATGCCGTCAAAACGAGGCTGAAACCGGGAGCCGTAAAAGTTTCGATTGGCTCGGAAGCTAGAACTCACAGCATCGTTCACTTCGTTGTGTCTTACAAGTCGCATGCAGTTTGTCGACTCGTGGTTCTCCCGTTCGTACCAAATGATCCACGTCCGCTTCCGGATCGCTCTTCTGATGCTCTTAATGCTCCGGTTGTACCAGTCCCACATCCTCGGCCACGAACAGCCCACCCAACCAGACCAGGACCAGCTCGGGCCAACAGGCAAACCAGTTTTGGGCCAAAGGCGGCGTTGCTGCTCCGAAAGTGGGCCCCAGAGCAAAAACCAGTCAAAGTAGACGGTCGGGGTTCCGTGACAGAGGTCGGTGTCGAGCCGCCATCTCAGTTCTTGGGCCACCCCGGCAAAAGCATTGTACACGTCGTCTGGGTAGGACAGCAGGCGCTCCGAATAGAATTGGATGAGGGCTTCGTGTTTGCCGATATCGTCGCCCTCGTACGCGTCGCCGTGATTACCTCCTTCTCCCCTGAGTTCGTCTGGACGTTCAAATACATGCTCCTCCCATGCGTCGTTGCCCGGGCAGCGAAAGGCGATCGTATCGTCAATGAATATGAGGGAACGGAGGGCGAAATGAGTCTCTTGGTATCTGTAGACAAGCCAATTAGTTTTTTTTTTCATTGTCAAAACTCTTCCCGGTAGAATGCAAGTGGCAACTTACGTCCAGCCGCGCGCGTTGTACGGCGTCACCTGCATACCATCGGCATACCTAGACCTGAATGCCAGTCGAAACCCTGGGGCGATTTGTTCGACCGATGGTCCCCAGTCTCGAGAGTTGGGACGAACGCCCGCAATGCCGGAATACGCATCTGGGCTACCCGCAGCGACTATCACCAGGTCTGCCGCACCGTAGATCAAGTCCATCGTCTTGATCGTCGGGATTTTGATCTCGGCATCATTCTGGACAATGCAGAGGTTGTCGACCCACAAGTATTTCATACCAATCTTCCTCACAGCCTCAATGGCGTCCTTGATGGTCGGCGGGATCTGGTCCAGATACTGGGGATCTTTCAGTGCGCCGGGCACTTCCAGTGCGTGGACGTTGGTGTCGATGGTTGCAAAGAACTTTTTGGAGCCCCAGACGTAGCTCAACGCGACATAACGGGATCCAACCGGCAGGAGGACCAGACAGTCGTTTTCGACATCAATGCATCGGAACTGGGGCACCTCTTTGGCTGGATGGGATCGGCGCAACTCTTTGAGAATCGGATTCGACCGGCAGGCCTGGCCGTGGCGCGTCCGACATACATCCAGCCATCCTCGCACACGGGCGAAATCGATCATGTCCCTACGGACAGGGCGGATGAAGTAGGTGACGGACTCGGTCGGTGAGTCGTTGGCTAAGAGGGTGATTTCAGGGAACAGGTTGGGACGGGGTACAAAGCCTCCATTCTGCGTCTGTGCGTATGGCCTCAGCATACGAACTTCAGCTCGACGATTCCACGGACCCAAGGACGGGCCGTCGGTGCTCCAGCTCAAGTCCACCACGACCGGGTCGTCGTTGTGATGCGTTGGGACTTTGTCTCCACCTAGAGCTGCGAGTACCAGACGGCACAGCGGGCAGTTTGTCTTGTTCCTCATATCTTCCAGCTTACCGAGGTGCATGGATAACTGGTCGGGCTTCCTTGCTTGGCCATGTTCCTCGTCGCCCGGGAGAACAACAAATCGTCTCGGGGTCAGCTTGAGTTCTTTGCAGATGCCACAAAGCTCGTCTCCAGGACGAGACATATCGTCGGGGACGGGGAGGAGGGAATCTTTTCCAGAACGGATAGGGAGTAATTCGTCATCCAAGATGTCTTCCCAGCTGTCCGAGTCGGATGCCATGGTTGAATTCGTCTTTGTCAAACCGACTGGTGTTAGGAAGCAGGAGGCTCGTGGGTTTCGGGTTTCCTTCTCCCAGGACTGAAGCCTTTCTGAAGGTGTTCTTTTTTCGGGGAGGGCACAGGGGATCGTCGGACCTTTCAAAGCTGCCAGCAACCCTCCCGAGTGATACCAGCAGCTCCTCTGGGTGATATAGTTGGGGGGAGGGGAAATCCAAATCCACAAAAGATAGATGTGCTGATCAAGCACAAGCACAAGCACAAGTCGCAACCAGCCCTTCTGCCTCTTGTGCCACGTGGCAGACGACAAGTCGTGCCTCCATGGGTCATGTTCACGCAACCCGAGATATGTACCAGCTGGGCTGCTGCTGCAAAGCGAACCGTTTTCTTGGGTGCGAAAAGCTGCTCAACCCGACGGTGGGATTGGCCTCCAATTTACGAGTAGTGGCGGTGGCTTGCTGCAGTCGTCCCAGTACAGATCGATCAGACCGAGAGCTGAAAGCAGGGGGGCTGGCCACTTGGTAAGGCATGGGTGTCATATTTCCGGTCTCTATTTGGGGCTGTACATACGAGTCCCCGAGTAGAGGTTTCTCGTCTCCAGACGTTTAACGATCCGCAGCAACATTGTCGCCTAGACGGTATATGGTAGACGGTATACATGGCCGACAGACCGCCTCCTTCAACTCAAGGCCATGACCGGGTTAAATTCTACAGCTGCGAAACGAGCGTCGCGAGGATCGAGGTAAGAAGAAATCTTGGTCCATGTCATTGGATCGCTGCTTAATAGTTGAAAACAAAAAAATATAGAGAACCGGCTGGGACATGTCACGGTCCATCAACTGGACATCTAAGGACCTGAATGGCGCCACCCATTTCATCACACAGCCGTCTCAGGCAAGTAGCAGGCATACTAAAAAACATGAGGAAGTGATTGCTAACGGTATTTTGAAGAGGGATAGAAGGGATCTGCTTACCAGTAATCGGTTTAGAATCCTGTAAGTCCATGACGGCCATCTTGTCCCGTCGTGTTGCTGTTTTTGGACTGAAAACTCCATCGTTTAAAGAATCGTCAAATGCCCTCAGCCTTCAGATGGGCCATCCTTGATCGAATCGTTCTCATCCTCCGACTCGTCGTCTCCGGCCAAGTCAGCGCTGACCAAATCAAAGCCACCCGACAATCATGAACTGGAAGACGATCCTCTGTACAACCAACACCATGTCCTTCAAGTGGCGCGCAACAACGGCTGGATCGACGAGCACTTCGACTCGTACGTCAAGAACAACACGGCCAGTTCGGCGGTTTTCGATAGCCCCGAGAGCATCAGGCTGATTGCACAGTCCCCGAAGGACGATGGCTTTCCGTTCTTCTCGCTGGCCTTCACACAGCGCTTTTCCGAAACTCGCCAGTACGATTCTGACTGGGAATGCCTCGTCTTCTTCCGACCCGCCGGCCTCTGGGACAATCAGGTCGGGCCCTTGCTCACCCGCAACCCTTTCCCACACGACTACCCGGAACCTCTCCAACCTGATTTCATGGTGCTGCCGGTGACGCTACTGCGGTGGCAGGTGGACGACATCATCAACGAGCTGAACAAGACCAAGAAATCCCTCATGAACCACGACCGGGGTTTTGGTTCGAAACCGGTCCCGGAGCTCAAGAGCATCAAGAAAGTCCTGTTTGAACTGCGACAGAAGAACTTCTTCCTGCGTCACCGACGGGACTTTGCGAGAGAGTTTGCAGAAACTCTGCTAGAAACCTTTCGGGCCATCGAGAGGCGGCATTCGAGCCCGGACGAAACGGCCGTGTATTCCCCATCAATGATTGCACGTGTGGCAAGCCAACAGGCCATGTTGAAGAGTGTGGAACGCGATTTGGAGACGACAGCTTCCAGGATTGAGTCTCAACTGGATTTTGTAAGCCACAAAGACGCCAGCATTGTTCCGCATTCACATACTTACTTCAAACGACAGGCCGACGGACAAATGAGAGAAGCTGTACGTCAATCAAACCCCCCGGTGAAAAACACAGAGAGATACTGACCATTTTCCCGGTAGTTTGCGCGAC